GTTGAGGGAAGCCCTGGGCGAGCAGTTGCCCCGGCGGGGTCACACTGCGCTGTCACGGTGTAGGCCGGGTTGTGCTCGTCCTGATGTGGGGTGAAGCCGCAATTCATCAGCTCTGGTCAAGTTTCTGCGCAAAAAAACCTGCCCAAAGGTAGCGCTGACACTGATTTGTGAAATGCCCGCAGATAAGGGAGAAAGTGGAATGCACTTTGGTGTTTCTGTACCTGCGTCAGAGCTTACAGCTGCAGAAATCTGCTTTTGGAACCAAAATAACTCAGGGTTTGAGGGTCTCGGGCCAAGTCCGGAGCTGTTTCAGGAAGATCGGGCTGCTTTGCAATTGGAAGCTGTTGCCAGGAATAATTTGGTAGAGCCTGTGCAGAAGCAGCATGAGCAATTAAGAGAAACTTCTAATCACATAAATGTGGCTCCTGAAACCCTTGTCCGGCTTTTCCAAAACTCTGTCACTGGCATTTTGTCAGAACCGTTGTAAAAGTAGAGCCCTGTGCGTTCACAAAAATCCCAGCTCGCAGCTGAGCACCTCTTCGCTCAGCGCTTCTGCGTTAAACCGGCTTTGCTTTCTTTTCAGTTTATTTCTTTTCCTCTCCTTGAAACTCTCGTTCTTACTTCTCCAACTGATGTTTTTGTTTTGTATGCTTCGTGTAGATGAATGGACAGATGTGGACAGGAAACGAGGTACTGTAATCTTCTGGCTGCATGCAGTACACCAGCACCACTCCACGCACGCACGAGCAAACACACCCTGTGCTGTTCCTGCAGCAAAGAGAAATAATTACTCACCTGCTCGTTAAAACGCCCTTTAGCTACAGCTCTTAGAAAAATAGACACTATCCCAAAATCCTGTGGCTTCAAAAATGTGTTGCTAATCTAACCAAGACTACAAATAGATCCGAACTCTTTTATCGGAGCGGTGTTTTTAGCCCAAGTTATATTTGTATTTTTGCTAGCATTGTATTAATGCCAGCATTTCATTGTGTGAGCACTGTGGAGGTTGTTTTTCTGCTGGAATGCAGGAATATTCCATATACTGCATTTCTCTAAGGCTTTTTCTAACCCGTTGCTCAGGGTTTTGACAGGTGAGCTCCAGGAAGGACTGAAGGCGTTTCCCTCCCGGCTGCTGCCCCGTCCCTGCTGGAGGTCAGCTCCCTTGCACGAGCTCAGCTGGACCGAGCTGGCCCCCAAGGGTGGGCTCGAGCCCCGGGGGCTGCGGCGAAGTGGCCAAGGTGGAGCCCGCGATTGCCCCTGGGCTCTGCTTGGCCCCGCAGCCGCCAGCAAGGGGCTGGGTACGGAGCTGGGCGAGGAAACGCGTCCCCTCGGCTGCCCCGGGGGGTTAGCGGCTGCCCCGGGTGTTGAGCAGGTGAACGCCAGGAGCACTTCCAGTGTCTTTGGAGAGGGATCGGGGTTAGGATTCACGTTTTTCAAAATAAGCATAGTTTGCATATTTTGGATGTTTACTGCAGGTAAATGTTGATATCCTGGAGTTTGGCCCGGCTCTTCCTCTGCTGCCATTATTTGCTGTTTCCAAGAATACTTTTTTCCTGCATTTAATATCTCAGAAGCCTAAAAGATTCCACGTTCCTCTTTTACCACATCCAAACCAAGGCCAGGTTGCATGAAAGCTTTGTCCCGTTTAGATGGCAGCGGCACAGATGCAGACCCCGTGCTGACCGATCAGCTCGTCCTGTGAGGAAGGAGTTTGTGACCACTGCTCCCAGGGCCAGAGCTGAAGTTGTAGTAGAGCAGCCACCCAAGTCCATCGCTGCTGAAGCCGTGACGAGGCGGCTTTGCCTCCCTTCAGCCTTGCTACGAGCTATAAACCACTGCAAATAGAACACGGGGCTGGTTTGGACTCATAACGTTCCCTTTGCTGCCTTGAATGTCCTCAGAGAAGCACTTAGGGCGTAAAGACTCCTGTCCCATGTCACACATCCGAGCTGTGTGACGTGGCGGTGCACCAGGCGCGGGAACGCGTCGGTCACTGCTGATGTGGCACATACAGGCAAAAAGCACCGTAAATCCTCAGCTTCTCTTCTGTCTGCACTTGGTTTCCCTCTCCCCATCCCAGCTGATGAAACCCCTGTGTGCTAAACCGCTTTGGTGCTTTTTTTTTTATTACTTCCTCTCTGATTTTCTAAGCTGGCATTATAAGCTTCAGTAACTGTTACCTGCCGGGGAAGATTCGTGCTTGTACAGTAATGTGTGGATGGGAATTTTTACATCACTTCTTTGACAGAGAGATAAACATTTATGGTACCTGTAGAATGTATCAGGTGCGTGATAAAATTACCAAATCCAAAAGCCAAGATGCTGCGTCTGCTTCAATCGCTGCAAAGTGTTTTCTGTCATCTTCTGCCTTTGTATTAAAACCTTGATAACCAGAGCATAGCCCTTACACTCAGCACTCCTGATCTCTACGTGCTTTTGAGTAAATCACATAACAATTCCATGTCTAAATGTACACATAAAAAACCAAAGCACTTGTAAGGCGGTTGAGAGTTCTGTGCTCTTGAGCTGCTCCAGGATCCGCAGTATCCAGTGTCTGCAGATGTTGCTGTGTAAGCGCCCTGCGTGGCCTGACATAGATCCCCGTGTTACAAAAGCTGCTTTAAATACTTCCCACTGTTAATCCGTTCAATGCAAATCCTTCAAGGAGCCTGGAGTCATTCAGAGCTTCTGTCTGGGAGGAAAAATAGACTTATATTGTCAAAGGCTGGAGAGAGAGCAGGCAGAGGCAGCTGGCTACGCTCTGCAAAGATCCAGAGTGGTGCAAAACCATCGTCCTGGGGAGCAGAACTGTGGCTCTTACAGATAAAACATGCCAGAGCAGCCTATAAATGAAATTATCTAAAAAGGGGAAAGCTGCAAAAACCAGGCAACAAACCCAGCCCGATTGCCACTGGCACTCAGGGTTTTATA